GCAATTCAACATCTGGTAATTTCGTAGTTAATTTGCCTTCTCCTTTGGGAGATTTTATATTTAGTGATGGTATTTCAATGTTAGGTATCGTAATGTCTACTTTGCTGTCTACTTTAGGAGATTTTACATTTAGCGATGCTACTTCAACGTTCGGCAATTTAACGTCTATTGATTGCAATTCAACGTCTGGTAAACTTATGTCCTTACGGGTCATTATAATGTCCAATTCAGGTAATTCTATATTCGGAATTTGTACATCTTGTGCCTTAAGGCCTTCGACTGATTCTCTCTCATTTTCCAAAAACATTGATAATTCTGTCTTGGACACTAAGTCTTTTTCCGGAAATTTACTAACTACACCTTTTTTTGATTTACCTATAAGTTTTCCAATAAATGACTTGCCTTGTCCTTTGGGAGATTTTANATAAATGACTTGCCTTGTCCTTTGGGAGATTTTAAATTTAGCGATGGTACTTCAACGTCAGGTACATTGACGTCTACTGATTGCAATTCAACATCTGGTAATTTCGTAGTTAATTTGCCTTCTCCTTTGGGAGATTTTACATTTAGTGAAGGTAGTTCAACGTCAGGTAATTTGATGTCAACTGTTGGCAATGTAACCTCTGGCAATTTCGCAGTTAATTTGCCTTCTTCTTTGGGAGATTTTACATTTAGTGATGGTAGTTCAACATCCGGTATCGTAATGTCTACTTTGCCGTCTACTTTAGGAGATTTTACATTTAGTGAAGGTAGTTCAACGTCAGGTAATTTGACGTCTACTGATTGCAATTCAACATCTGGTAATTTCGCAGTTAATTTGCCTTCTCCTTTGGGAGATTTTAAATTTAGTGAAGGTAGTTCAACGTCAGGTAGTTTGACTTCTACTGATGGCAAAGTAACCTCTGGCATTTTCGCAGTTAATTTGCTTTCTCCTTTGGGAGATTTTAAATTTAGTGATGGTAGTTCAACGTCAGGTAGTTTGACTTCTACTGATGGCAATGTAACCTCTGGCATTTTCGCAGTTAATTTGCCTTCCTTTTTGGGAGATTTTACATTTAGTGATGATAGTTCAACGTCAGGTAGTTTGACTTCTACTGATGGCAATGTAACATCTGGCAATTTCGCAGTTAATTTGCCTTCTCTTTTGGGAGATTTTACATTAAGTGATGGTAGTTTAATATCCGATATCGTAATGTCTACTTTGCCGTCTACTTTAGGAGATTTTACATTTAGTGAAGGTAGTTCAACGTCAGGTAATTTGACGTCTACTGATTGCAATTCAACATCTGGCAATTGCGCAGTTAATTTGCCGTCTACTTTAGGAGATTTTACATTTAGTGATGGTAGTTCCACGTCAGGTAGTATGACGTCAACTGATGGCAATGTAACCTCTGGCAATTTCGCAGTTAATTTGCCTTCTCTTTTGGGAGATTTTATATTTAGTGATGGTAGTTCAACGTCAGGTAGTTTGACGTCTACTGATTGCAATTCAACATCTGGCAATTTCGCAGTTAATTTGCCTTCTCTTTTGGGAGATTTTACATTTAGTGATGGTAGTTCAACGTCAGGTAGTTTGACGTCTACTGATTGCAATTCAACATCTGGCAATTTCGCAGTTAATTTGTCTTCTCTTTTGGGAGATTTTACATTTAGTGATGGTAGTTCAACATCCGTTATCGTAATGTCTACTTTGCAGTCTACTTTGGGAGATTTTAAATTTAGTGATGGTAGTTCAACGTCAGGTAGTTTGACTTCTACTGATGGCAATGTAACCTCTGGCATTTTCGCAGTTAATTTTCCTTCTCCTTTAGGAGATTTGGAATTTAGTGATGGTAGTTCAACGTCAGGTAGTTTGACGTCTACTGATGGCAATGTAACCTCTGGCAATTTCGCAGTTAATTTGCCTTCTCCTTTGGGAGATTTTATATTTAGTGATGGTAGTTCAATGTCAGGTATCGTAATGTCTACTTTGGGAGATTTTAAATTTAGTGATGGTAGTTCAACGTCAGGTAGTTTGTCTTCTACTGATGGCAATGTAATTTCTGTCATTTTCGCAGTTAATTTGCCTTGTCCTTTGGGAGATTTTACATTTAGTGATGGTAGTTCAACATTCGGTAGTTTGACGTCTACTGATTGCAATTCAACATCTGGC